ACACAAAGAAATAAAAGGCATCCAAATCAGCAAGGAAGAAATCAAATCTTCACTATTTGTAGATGAAATGATACTCTATACAGAAAACCCAAAAGACTCCACCAAAAAATTGCTACAACTGATTCTTGAATTCAGTAAAGTCACAGGATACAAAATCAATTGTACAGAAATCTGTTGCATTTCTATACACCAATAAGGAAGCAGCAGAAAGATAATCAAGGAATGAATACCATGGCACCAAAAACCGTAAGATACCTAGAAATAAACCTAACCAAAGAGGTAAAAGATCTGTATGCTGAAAACTATAGAAAGTTTATGAAAGAAATTGAAGAGGACACAAAGAAAAGGAAAAACATTCCACGCTCATGGGTTAGAACTAGCAAAGTCAAAGCAATCTTGAAAATGAAAAGCAAAGCTGGAGACACCACAATTCTGGACTTCAAGTTATATTACAAAGCTGTAGTGATCAAGACAGTCTGGAACTGATATAAAAACAGATACACAGATCAATGGAACGCACAGAAAATGCAGAAATGAACTCACAACTGTAACAAAGCTGGAAAGAATATCCAATGAAAAAAAGACATTCTCTGCAACAATTGGTGTTGGGAAAACTGGACAGTGAAATGCAGAAAACTGAAACTGAAAAGTGGACCACTCTCTTACACCATACACAAAAATAAACAAACCCAGATGCAAGTCCTAAACCCTAGAGGAAAACACAGCAGCAACCTCTTTGACTTCGACCACAGCAACTTCTTACCAGATATGTCTCCTAAGGCAAAGGAAACAAAAGCAAACATGAACCTTTGGGACTTCACCTAGATAAAAAGTTTCTGCACAAAAAGAGAAGCAATCAACAAAACTAAAAGGCCACTGATGCAATGGGAGGAGATATTTACCAATGACATATCAGATAAAGGATTAGTATCTGAAATATATAAAGAATTTAGAAAACTCAACCCTCAAAAAACAAATAATCTAGTTTAAAAATGGGCAGAAGACATGAATAGACATTTTTCCAAAGAAGACAGCCAGTTGGCTAACAGACACATAAAAAGATGCTCAACATCATTCATCATCAGAGAAATACAAATCAAAACTACAATTAGATATCATCTCACACCTGTCAGAATGGATAAAATAAAAAACACAGGAAACAACAGGTGTTGGCGAGAATGTGGATGAAGAAAGGGAACCCTCTTACATTGTTGTAAGAACTACCTTATGACTCAGCAATTACACTACTAGGTATTTACCTATAGGATACGAAAATGCTGATTCAAAGGGAAGCATGTACACCAATGTTTATAGTAGCATTATCAAAAATTGCCAAATTATGGAAAGAGCCCATATGTCCATCAACTGATGAATAAAGAAGATGTACATACATACAATGGAAAACTACTCAGCCATCAAAAGGAATGAAATCTCACCGTTTTTCAATGATGTGGATTGAGCTAGAGAGCATAATGCTAAGCGAGATAAGTCAGTCCAAGAAAGATAAATACCACATGACTTCACTCATGCGGAATTTAAGAAACAAAACAGATGAACATAGGGTGAAAAATAAGAGAAAGGCAAACCATAAAACAGACTCTTTGGGCACCTGGGTAGCTCAGTTGGTTAAGCGCTCAACTCTTGACTTCAGCTCAGGCCATGATCTCATGGTTGTGAGATCCAGCCCCACAAGATTCTCCTCTTCCTTTCCCTCTGCCCCTCCCCTGCTTGTGTGCTCGCTCGCTCTCTCTCTCGCTCTCTCTCTCTCTCTCCCCCCCTCAAAAAATATAAATAAATAAACTAACTAACTAACTAACTAACTAACTAACTAACCAGACTTGTAACTCTGGAGAACAAACTAAGGATTACTGAAGGGGAGATGGGCAGGGGGATGGATTTAATTTGGTGATAGGTATTAGGGGGGCACTTGTGATGCAACTGGGTGCTATATGCAAGTAATGAATCACTAAATTCTACACCTGACACTAACAGTACATTGTATGTTAACTAACTAAAATTGAAGTAAAACCCTGAAAAATAAAAAAAAAAATGAATGAGGAAGGAGGAAAATTATTTTGAACTTTATGTATGCAAATTAACAGTAAATACAGAATGTCCGCTATAAAAAAAAGAACTTCAGAGTAATAGACAAATCCACAATTATAGTTAGAGATATCCGCATCTCTTTCTCAATAACTGATACAATAACAGACTCCCTAAAAAATAATAAAGATATAGAAGACTTGAAGAACACTATTAATCAACTTGAACTAACTGGCATCCATGGAAAATTCCATCCAAAAGCAAAATACACATTATTTTCAAATACACATGGAACATTTATAAGAAAGATCATATTCTGGGCCATAAAAATAAAAGTCAATAAAGCTAAAAGGATGCATATTAGACAACATATGTCCTTGATCACTATGAAGTTAAATTAGAGCTCTCTATAGAAAGATACCTAGAAAGTTTCCAAAGACTGGAAACTAAATAACACACTTCTAAATAACCCATATATCAAAGAAGAAATTAAAGGGGAAATTAGAAAGTAGTTTTAACTGTTTTGAATGGAAGAGAAAACACAACATATCTAAAATTGTGAAACATAGCTAAAGATTACTCAGAAGGAAATTTATAGCACTAAACGACTATATTAAAAAAAGACTCAAATCAATGCTCTCAGCTTCTATCTTCACAACTTGAAAAAAGAACAGAAAACTAAGCACAGAAGAAAGAAAGAGAGAGAGAGAGAGAGAAACCAAGAAACAGACTTTAACTATAGAGAACAAACTGATGGTTACCAGAGGGAAGGTGGGTAGTGAGTGGGTTGGGTTAAATGGGTAATGGATATTAAGAAGTGCACTTGTGATGAGCACTGGATGGTGCATGTGCAAGTGCTGAATCACTGAATTCCACACCTGAAGCTAACATTGCACTATATGTTAACTAACTGGAATTGAAATTAAAAACTTGGAAGGGGAAAAAATAATAAACAAATATTCACTAAAAAAAAAGACTGGTAAAAGCAGAAATCCATCAAATGGAGAATATGAAAAAGAAAATAATTAAATCAAACAATGTTTCTTGAGAAGACCAATAAATTTGACAACCTCTAGCCAGAATGACTCAGAAAAAAGAGAGAGGCACCTGGGTGGCTCAGGCGGTTAAACAACCAACTCTTGATTTTGGCTCAGGTCATGATCTCACAGTTCATGAGATCCAGCTCCATCTTGGGCTCTGCACTGACAGCGTGGGACCTGCTCAGGATTCTCTCTCTCTCCCTCTCTCTGTTCCTCCCCTGTTTGCATGTGTGTGTATATTTGCTTGCTCTTATTCTCTCTCTCAAAATAAACTTTTAAAAACCAAGAAAAAAGAGAATATTCAATTACCAACATCAAGAATAAGAAGAGGAGCACCTGGATGGCTCAGTTGTTGAGTCTCAGACTATTGATTTCGGCTCAGGTTGTGATCTCACAATTCATGAGATCCAGCCCATCCTTGGGCTCTGCACTGACAGCAAGGAGCCTGCTTGGGATTCTCTCTCGCCCTCTCTCTCTCTGCTCCTGCCCTGCTCACCTGCACACGTGATCTTTCTTCTCTCAAAATAAAACTTTAAAAAATAAATAAGAGAAGTACATCAATGCAAACTTTACAAATATAAAAAGGACAGTAAGGAGGTTATTATGAACAATGTAATGGCAATACATTCAATAAGTTAGGTGAAACGACAAATTCTTTGAAAGACATGATCTACCAAAGTTCATACAAGAAACAGGTAACCTGAATAGCACGATATCTATTTAAGAAGTTGAATTTATAGTCAAAAAAACTTCCTAGAAAGAAAAGTCCAGGTTCTAATAGCTTGATTTGTGAGCTCTACCAAATATTTAAGTAGAAATAATGCCAGTTCTACATAAACTGTACCAGAAAGTTAAAGAGTAGGGAATGCTTCCAAACTCATGTTATGAATGTAACTATTTTTGTTCCAGACATGAGTTGTTTTAGGTTACTTCTCACTTGTATATATTAAATCATAAGGTATTTCAACTATTTAAGGAGACTTCTATTTCTGTGCCTGTCAAATACCCAAAACTTTTCCATCCATCAGATGATGTTTTTTATCTCTACAATATGGAAAGACTTCTGAAACATAGATGAATTAGATTTCAGTGGATTTGCAAAGTAATCAATTTTAAATCAAACTCTACTGATACACAAGATCCTTTTCTTTTAAAGCACATGAGCAAAAATATGCATACATTTCATTAAAGTATATATTTTTCAATTCATCTTAAGAATAAAAACCATATGTCATTTTCCTTATAGGATGTGCCTATAAACACTAAGTATTTAAATTTGAAAAATATCCAAAGATATTTCATCTTAAAGTTTATGCATATTTGAAGGCTAATCAAACTTCACATAATGTTCACTTTTAAGAAACACCTATAATCTTTGGATCTAAAAATAGCTAGTTATTTATTAAAGAAATATTATAGTTTAAGTTTTTAAAAATTTATATAGAACTGAGTAAATACTTAATGAAAATATGCCATTTCTTCAACTAAGAAGCTTAAATTTATTATTACATATAATAGAAAATTGAGAAAAAATGTTTGCTTCAAAAAAGTATAAACATGATCCATATATTAATAATGAAGTACCTTTCCAAGACATTTTTTTAGTTTTATTTATTTATTTTGAGAGAGAGAGAGAAAGCGAGCAAGTGGGGGAGGGGCAGACAGAGGGAGAGACAGAATCTCAAGCACCCTCCATATTCAGCACAGAGCTGGACACAGGGCTCAATTTCACAACAGTGAGCATGACTGTGAGATCACAACTTAAGCCGATATCAAAGAGTCAGATGCTTAACCCACTGAGCCACCCAGGTACTCTCCAAAACATTTTGATACTTTCCAATTATTATATCACATTAAGATAAGTTATATCACATAAAATATAGTAATATAATATATAATATATACATACATACATACCGTGTCTTGCTTTGGGATCTGGACTAAGACAGAAAGAAGCTGCTCTGTATCAAGAAATCTTGAAATAACTGAAACAAAGAAAACACATGCATTTAAACTTTGTGTTACACAAATTTCTGACAGTGCAGGGAGTCAGTGCCCCTAACCCCTATGGACCAACTGTATATCTAGTCAGTATCTATATCTATATCTAATCTATATCTCTATGTGTATTTCTATCTATCTATCTATCTATCTATCTATCTATCTATCTATATCACATGTTCTTTATCCATTCATCCACTGACACTTAGGCAGTTTCCAGATCCCCTATTATAAAGTTGTAACTGGGGCATCGGGGTGGTTCAGTCAGTTAAGCATCCAACTTCAGCTCAGGTCAAAATCTCATGGTTTGTGAGCTCGAGCCCTGCAGCAGGCTCTGTGCTTAGCTCAGAGCCTGGAGTTTGCTTCAGATTCTGCGTCTCTCTCGCTCTGTCCCTTCCCCACTCATACTCTTTCTCTCTCTGTCTCTCAAAAATGAATAAACATTTTTTTAAAAAATTAAAAAAATAAAGTTGTAATGAATTACAGCATACATTGCACAGGTATGTTTCCTTTGTCTTAAATAGCATTTCTCAGCCTCGCTTGCTGTCAAAATCCTATCCATTCCCTTTATATATAACGTAAGTATTATCTTTGGATCCTGGATCCCATCATTATTCCAGCTGACTCTTCTGTGTTCCCATAAAATACTCAATTATTATTGCACTGACTGTGCTGCATCAATTATTTATTTAGAATTCTGTCTCTAACAGGAGTAGAAGATCCTTGTGGACAGAAACCTAAGGCATAATCCTCCCTACCTTTTTATCCCTAATACCTATAGAATGCCTAAATAAAGTAAGTACTAGGTCATTGTTGTTTTAATAAGATTCAGATTCTCCTATTTTAATAAAGTATCAAAACTACCCTCTCAGGGTCCCTGATGGCTCAGTGAGTTTAGCGTCCAACTTTGGCTCAGGTCATGATCTCACAGTCCATGAGTTTGAGCCCTGCATCAGGCTGACAGCTCAGAGCCTGGAGTCTGCTTCAGATTCTGTGTCTCCCTCTCTCACTGCCCCTCCCCTGCTCACACTCTGTCTGTCTCTCTCTCAAAAATAAATACAAAACAAAAACAAAACAACAAAAAAAGACTCTTCCAATTTGCTCTATCTCTGTTCCTGCTCCCATACTTCATTGTATGCTAAAATAAATTATAAACTGTCAAGATATAGAAAACAAGTGTTTTACATTTCTACATGCAAATTTAAAACTTTCAGTTATAAGAAAGTATAAAGCTTGGGGAACTTAGGTGGTTCAGTCAGTTAAGCATCCGATTCTTGATTTTGGCTCAGGTCATGAACTCACAGTTTGTGAGTTCAAACCCTGTATCAGGCTCTGTGCTGATATTGCAGAATCTGCTTGGGATTTTCTATCCCTCTCTCTCTGCCTCTTTCTGCTCAAGCTCTTTCTCTCTCGAAATAAATAAATAAACATTTAAAAAGGTTTTTTAGAAATAATAAAAAAAGAAATTATGAACCTTAAGATATATCAAATTAAAGTTTCAAAAAAAGAAAATTCAAGTTTTTCATTAATATCCTATAAAACATAATCTTGGGAACAACAGAATACAATTTTCAACAAGTTCAACTGTAAATCAACAGTTCAACAAATATGAACACCTGTTATATCCTAGCCTTGCATGGGAATCCTCCAACAAAACATGCACTTACAATCCAGTAAGTTATGTGACATAACAAGATACTAAAGGAAACATGTAGAAAAAATGCCTAGCACAGACTTTGGGAGTCAGAGAGGCTTCTAACATAAGTGACATCTAAACTGGAATGGTAAAGGATGAACTGTAGTTAGCTAAGGAGTGCTTGGGAGGAGGGATCGCAGGGAAGGGAGAAGAAAAATTCTAGGCAAAGAGTACAGAGTACAAAGTCCAAAATATGAGAGAAGATCTGTTCAAGCAGCTAAAAAAGTTCAGCTATACTAAAAGGAAAAATAGAAAGACTCCACTAAAAAGGAGAACTAAAGGTCAATTTTCCTGATGAACATGAATGCAAGAATCCTCAACAAAATACTAGCCAACTGGATCCAACAACACATTATAAAAATTATTCACCACGACCAAGTGGGATTTATACCTGGGATGCAGGGCTGGTTCAATATCTGGAAAACAATTAATTGACACATCACATCAATAAAAGAAAGGACAAGAACTACATGAGCCTCTCAATAGATGCAGAGAAAGCATTTGACAAAATACAGCATCCCTCCTTGATAAAAACCCTCAAGAAAGCAGGGAGAGAAGGATCACGCCTCAAGATCATAAAAGTCATATATGAAAGGCCCACTGATAATATCATCCTCAATGGAGAAAAACCGAGAGCTGTCCCCCTAAGGTCAGGAACACGACAGGGATGTCCACTCTTGCCACTGATATTCAACATAGTACTGGAAGCCTCAGCCTCAGCCTCAGCAATCAGACAACACAAAGGAATAAAAGGCATCCAATTCGGACAGGAGGAGGTCAGACTTTCACTCTTCGCAGATGAAATGATATTCTATATGGAAAATCCAAAAGATTCCACTGAAAAACTGCTAGAACTGATCCATGAATTCAGCAAAGTGGCAGATATAAAATCAATGCACAGAAATCGGTTGTATTCCTACACACCAATAATGAAGCAACAAAAAGAGAAATGGAGGAATCAATCCCATTTACAATTGCACAAAAAAACCATAAAATACCTAGGAATAAGTCTAACCAAAGAGGTGACAAATCTCTACACTGAAAACTATAGAAAGCTTAGGAAACAAATTGAAGACGATACCAACAAAAAGGGACATATATTCCATGCTCCTGGATAAGAACAAATACTGTTCACATGTCAATACTACCCAAAGCAATCTACATATTCAATGCAATCCCCATCAAAATAATACCAGCATTCTTCACGGAGCTAGAACAAACAATCCTAAAACTCGTATGGAACTAGAAAAGATCCCAAATAGCCAAAGCAATCTTGAAAAAGAAAACCAAAGCTGGAGGTATCACAATCCCTGACTTCAAGCTGTATTACAAAGCTATAATCATCAAGACAGTATGGTACTGGCACAAAAACAGACACTCACATCAATGGAACAGAACAGAGAACCCAGAAATGGACCCACAAATGTATGGCCAACTAATCTTCAACAAAGCAGGAAAACAAAATCCAACAGAATAAAGACAGTCTCTTCAGCAAATAGTGTTGGAAAACCTGGACAGTGACATGAAGAAAAATGAGCCTGGACCACTTTCTTATACCCTACACAAAAATAAACTCAAAATGGAAGAAAGACCTAAATGCAAGACAGGAATTCAACAGCATCCTAGAGGAGAAAGCAGGCAAAAATCTCTTTGACCTTGGCCGCAGCAACTTCTTACTCAATACGTCTGTGGAGTCAAGGGAAACAAAAGCAAAAATGAACTATTGGGACCTCATCAAAATAAAAAGTTTCTGCACAGTGAAGGAAATAATCAGCAAAATTAAAAGGCAACTGAAGGAATGGGAGAAGATATCTGCAAATAACATATCAGATGAAGGGTTACTATCCAAAATCTATAGAGAACTTATCAAACTCAACACCCAAAAAACAAATAATCCAGTGAATAAATGGGCAAAAGACATGAACAGGCACTTCTCCAAAGAAGACGTCCACATGGCCAATGGACACATGAAAAAATGCTCAACATCACTCACCATCAGGGAAATACAAATCAAAGCCATAATGAGATACCACCTCACACCTGTCAGAATGGCTAACATTAACTCAGGCAACAACAGATGTTGGTGTGGATGAGGAGAAGGAGGATCTGTTTTGCACTGCTGGTGGGGATGCAAACTAGTGCAGCCACTCTGGAAAACAGTATGGAAATTCCTCAAAAAATTAAAAATAGAACTACCCTACAACCCTGCAATGGTACTATTAGCTATTTATCTAAGGGATATAGATATGCTGTTTTGAAGGGGCACATACACCCCAATGTTTATAGCAGCACTATAGACAATAGCCAAAGTATGGAAAGAACCCAAATGTCCATCGATGGATGAATGGATAAAGATGTGGTATGCATATACAATGGAGTATTACTCAGCAATCAAAAGGAATGAAATCTTGCCATTTGCAACTACATGGCTGGAACTGACTAAGCGAAATTAGTCAGTCAGAAAAAGGCAAATATCATATGACTTCACTCATATGAGGACTTTAAGATACAAAACAGATGAACATAAGGGAAGGAAAGCAAGAATAATATAAAAACAGGGAGGGGGACAAAAACATAAGAGACTCAAATATGGAGAACAAAGGGTTACTGGAGGGGTTGTGGGAGGGGGGAATAGGCTAAATGGATAAGGGGCATTAAGGAATCTACTCCTGAAATCATTGTTGGACTATATGCTAACTAACTTGGATGTAAATTTTAAAAAATAAGTAAATGTTTTTTTAAAAGAAGGAAAAAAAGATACTATACTGATGGCTTTTAAGATGAAGGAAGTACCATGAACCAAAGAATATAGACAGTCTCTAGAAACTAGAAAAAGCAAGGAAACAGATTGACCCATAGAGCATCCAGAAAGAATGTAAACTGCTAACATATTGATTTTAGCCCAACAGAACTGATTTCTGACATCCAGAACTCTAAGATAATAAATTCATGTTGTTATAAGCCACTAAATTTGTGGTAATTTGTTATATCAAAAATAAAAAATGAAAACAAGTGATATGCTCAGAATTATTTCAAAAGTTCATTCAGGCTGCAGTATAGAGAAAAGACTATAAAAAGAAAGATTGGAGGAGTGTGATCAAACATAAGGCTGTTGCAATAAATCAAAATATAGATAAATAGTAGCCCAGGCTGGAGCTACAGCACTGGGAATAGAAGCCAAGGCATTCAAAAGATATATAGGCAGGAGACTTTGCAGTTTTGATGATTGATTTCAGGGAAGAGAAGAGTTAAGAATGACTTCCTGGTATCTGGCTTGGTAGAGAGGGTGGATGTAGAACTATTCACTGAAATCAGGAAGAATGATTTAGAAAGGAGGATGGCACAGTTTGGATACTGAATCTGAAATGATTGAGGAAGACCTAGTAAGTGTTCAGCAGACAGTAAGATATATGGGGCTAAAAGTCTGTAGAGATATCTGGGCATGAAATGTACATTCAGAAGTCATGATTATGTGAATGATAATTATAAAACCAAGAAGGTGGGGCACCTGGGTGGCTCAGCTGGTTGAGCATCTGACTCTTGATTTTGGTTCAGGTCATGATCCCAGGGTTGTGAGCTCTGTGTCAGGTTCCACGCTCAGGATTCTCTCTCTCTCTCTCTCTCTCTCTGTCTCTCTCTCTCTCACTGTCCCTCTCCCCCCACCCCACATTCACTCACTCACTCTCTCTCAAAAAATAAAATAAATTCATGTAATGAGGAAGGTTAAGTCATATACAAATATACAGGGTAAAAAGACAACCTAGGAGATATTTTTAAAGAGCTATAGCATTTATGGAATGAGCAGAGGAATAGAAACCTGTAAAGAAGGTTCAGGGGAAAAAAGACTCAGAAGTTTTTTTCTTTTTTTCATTTGAAAGAAAGGACTCTGCTGTTTTTACTCTGTTACCTGATCAATGACAGAGCTTTCTGAGGATGTTCCAAGACTGTATACAGTTCTAAGGTCTATTTGGAAATCCATACAGTAACATTTCACAGGAGATACCCTGTTGGTTCTGACTGGATAGTCCTGTAAACTTTTTTTTTTTAAGACTTTAATTTTAAGTGATCTCTATACCCAATGTGGGGCTCAAGCTCACAACCTTGAGATCAAGAGTTGCATGCTCCTCTGACGAATCCCTTTTCCCACCTGTCTTCTGGATACTACCTTTTTACTCGTCTCTCTCCTGTATGTTTACCTTTTTTTAAGTTTATTTATTTGTTTTGAGAGAGAAAGAGAATCCCGAGCAGACTCTGTGCTGTCAGTGCCAAGCCCAATGATGACCTGAGCCAAAATCAAGAGTCAGATGCTCAACCAACCTAACCGCCCAGGGGTCCCATCTCCTATAGTTTTAATATCTCTTACTCCTGCTTTCCTATCTTTATAAAAAAAATATCCCCAGATTTTTCCAGCTACCACCTTATCTTTCTCTTCTTCCAATTTATAGGCAAACTTGTTGAAAGACAAGTCTCCTGTACTCACTATATTTCAATCTGCTGCAGTCTTGTTTCTGTGCTCACTGTGTGAGATTCCTCTAGTAAAGATTACTGTAGTACATATTATGGGTTCTTTGTCAAGATCACCTTGGGTCTCTTTTACCTTTTTTTGTACCCCTTGTCTTGCTCTGCGTTGCTTTTGCTTCTGCTGGCCCACACCTGGAATCTTTTTGGAGTACTGCTCCCAGACTGTTACAACACTTTGCTCTCAAGCAGAGGGCCAAAAGTACCTTGCACTCCTTAAGTCACTAAATAAAATGGGAGTGTGAAAGCTCCACTCTGAAAACCCTGAATGCAACTTCATGTCCAAAATTCTAAAGGATCAGTTGAAGTTAACTTACTTAGGATTTTGCTTGAAATTATACTTTTGCTTCGCTTTTTTCCTCTTCCCTGTCCTTCTCTCCTTTCCTGTTTTGTCTTATAAACACATTCTTAATCATTTTCACATCAATCTTCATATCAAGATCTGCTTCTGAAGAACCCAGCCAAAGATAGTTACCAACAAGCTTTACCATTGTTAAGTTTAATAGGCACATATTAGTTCTACTTGAACTCCAAATAAGATGATACTGCTAAATATCTCTCCTTATTGAATTAGTGCCTTTCTTTACAGTAATTTTCTTCATATGTCTTTGTATTTTCCTTCTTTTTAGCTCTGAAACACATTTATTTTTTTTTTAATGTTTTATTTATTTTTAGGAGAGAGAGAGAGAGACAGCGTGAGCAGGGGAGGGTCAGAGAGAGGGGGAGTCACAGACTGAAACAGGCTCCAGGCTCTGAACTGGCAGTCAGCACAGAGCCCGACGCGGGGCTCAAACCCACGAACCGCGAGATCATGACCCAAGCGAAAGTCGGACGCTTAACCGACTAAGCCACCCAGGCGCCCCTGAAACACATTTCTTTAGAAGTTTAAATGTGGGATGCCTGGCTGACTCAGATGGTGGAGCATGCAACTCTTGATCTTCGGGTTTTGGCATTTTCCCAGTGCCTTCTAGATTTTCATGTACCAATTCAGTTTAGACTAACCAGAATACCAGGTGGGATGGCTGGGATGGTGGGCATATGAAAGACAGATTAAGCTGCTAGGAGTCAGGAATTGGACTGGGAGCAGTGCATATATATTGTCCTTCCACCCCTACATATTTTTTTTTCTTTTTACAGAGAGAGCACAAGTAGGACAGGGGTAGAGGGAGAGAGAGATAGAATCCCAAGCAGGTTCTGTGCTGTCAATGCAGAGCCCGACATGGGGCTTGATGCCAGAAATCTGAATTCATGACCTGAGCAGAAATCAACAGTTGGGCATTCAACTGACTGAGCCACTGAGGAGCCCCCACTTACAGATTTAAAAAGAGAACTGTTGATATACTAGAAATATGTATTGGGTTCAGAGTAACTGCACTGCACCAGGCTCCCTTAAAAAAATAATAAATGAATAAAAAAAGAACACACAGGATCAGACTAAAAAAAGCAACAAAAAAAAAAATAAAATAAAATAAAAAGAGAACTGTACTTCCCTGTGAGTGAACAAATAGCCAGGTGCAAAAGGTAGCTCTCTTACCTTATGTTATCGAGCTTGTTGTGTCCCCTAAAAAGATATTTTGAAGCCTTAAACCCTGGTATCTGCATGTGTTCCTATTTGGAAATTGGATCTTTAGAGATATAATCAAGTTAAGATAAAGTTATTAGGGTAAGCCTTAATCCAATATGACTAGTATTCTTAGAAGAAAACAATGTTTTTATTAAATAATTTGTATTCATAAAATTAGATGATATTCATTTACCTGACTGAAGTCCAAAAAAGAGTTCCTCATCTTGAAGTAGTTCTTGAACACAATCCAATCTCATGTTAATGGTTTCAACATCAACTAAAGGTTCTAATATATTAGAACGAAGTCTTCTACTTCCTCCAGGAGTCTTAGTGTAATTTAGAACACCAAAGAGTGTGTGATTATTCCTTTGAAAACACAATTAGGAAATTTCATTAATTATACAAGGAAGAATCCAAAAAAAAGTTACCATTTAACTTTCTTTTTTTTTCTTTTTTTTTTCTTTTTTTTTTCTTAGAGAGAGAGAGAGAGAGACTGCATGAGCAGGGGAGGGTCAGAGAGACAGGGAGACACAGACTCTGAAATAGGCTCCAGGCTCTGAGCTGGCAGTCAGCACAGAGCCCGACGCGGGGCTCGAACCCACGAACCACGAGATCATGACCTAAGCAAAAGCCGGACGCTCAACCGACTAACCCACCCAGGCGCCCCACCATTTAACTTTCCAAATAATCCTATTATCTATAGTAGTGATTCTCAAATTTTAATGTGCATACAAATCACAAAGGAAATTCTAATTCAGTACATCTGAAATGAGGCCTGAGAATATATGTTTCAAATAAGCTTCCAAGTACACTCTCAATGAACCATGCTTTCATTAACAGGAGAGACATATCTTCTTGCATTTAGTTAATGAATTTTCTCATAGGTCAGCTATAATATTCAGACTAATATAAAATGTTCTAACCCATGGCATTCCATCAATAATAGCAAGATGTCAGTAATTTCACACTGAAAAAAATGAATAATACAATCACTTTGTTCTAACTTAAGAAAACTACAAGTAAAAGAGGAAGAAAATAATTTCAGGCACAGAGAAGTGTTAAGCAAACAAACAACGAAAACAGGAATGTATAGAAAATGACCAGGAAGGTTACTTTACTTAAGTTGATTGAGAAAGACCTGTATGTGTATTCGGTAATTGAATTCAAAATGCATCCTTGCAAAGATGATGATGGGATGGGGATGATTCTGACAATGATGGTGAGAACAGGTAACATATATTGAACATTAAGGATGTGCCAGGCATTGTTCTAAGCACTTTATAAATATTAACTTCTTTAATTCTAATGACAAGTACAAAGTAGATGTTATTTTTACCACATTTTACAAGGCAAGGAACTGAAGCACAAAGAAACTAAGTAACTTGTCCAAGGTTTCCAAATAAGCTAATAACAAGACAAGAGTTATCAGTTAAAAAGGGCCAATCAGAACACTAATGTAAGCCCAGGAAGCCTTTCTGGCTTGAGAACCAAAAAGAAGATCAAGATTGGAGGAAGTCTGCAAGTGAAAGTAGAATGGAGGGAGATGAAGAAGTTGACAGAGGTCAGGAAATATAAGTCCCTGTAAGCCATGGTAAAAACTCTGGATTCTATTCTAAATGTAATGGGAGCCACTGGAAGATTTTTAGCAAGACAGTTCCAAGATCTGATTCCTAGTTTAAAAGGATCACAGTCTGTCCACTAGATCAAGAATAGACAAATATAGGAGAGTAAAAAGAAGGCAGAGAAACAAGTCAGGGGCTATGACAGTAGTCCAGGCTAAAATGATGGAGGTATGGGTTTGGGTTGTAGCCTTGTAAATGGTTAAGAGGTGATCCAGAATTGGTATGTTTTCTATAGGCTAAGTCAAGGGGATTTAGTAGTGGATTGAGTCCAGGATGAAAAAGGAGAGAAAACAAGAATGACTCTTACTCATCAGACTAGTAGATTTTTGGTATATCTGTATGTTTTTTAGGTAAACTTTACCCCCAAAATGGTGCTCAGGCACACAACTCTGAGATAAAGAGCTGTATGCTCTACCAACCAGCCAGGTGCCCCTCGTATATCTATTTAAACAAATTTTTAGAGAACTACTCAAATCAAGTCCTGGCAGGGTAGGATTGGGGGTGTTCAGTACAGGCACTTTTTTTTTTTTCAACTTTTTGAGAACTGGCCTTCTGAAGGAAAAAAGGAAGTGAGCAGCGTACCCAAACTTGTCATTTGCTATAGAAATTAAAGGGTGAAAGTGAACAGGTCACAGGTCTATAAAAGCATTAGAACTATTCAGATAGCTCAGGAGGTAGAATATCCATCTTTTAACCTGATATCCTTTGGTTCAAGTCTGTGAAAACAGCTTCTCAATTTCTCCTTTTCAACTATAATGTGACCTCCCAGAGGTTAAATATCCTCTAGGTGTACAGCAGGAATTCAAGCAATGTTTGACAATGATAATGAAAAATAATCATGAACTATAAAATGTGATAAAGTATAAAACACTTTGTAATAATTACCAGCCTTGGTTATTGACTTTCTATTTACTCTATGTTATTGTAACATGGAAAGTAACTAACTAGTAATTTTTCCAGATAATATTATTTTAATCCTTTTTTAAGTAGCAAGAGGAACAATATTACTCACTAAGCTGAAAAGGAATAATAACTACAATTAACTATAAATTCTTTAAGGCTATAATTTTAGACCATCATTAGTCAATGGAACTGCAAAGGTACTGAGACCACCATAGTGATAGATAACTAATAGTCATATGTATAGTACCACTCTTCCTAGAAGTAGTATCAACAGTACCTGGATAGATCTAAACTGTTCTTGAGGATTAGAATATAAATAATTAACAAAATTAGATAGCCTATGTTTCTAAGTTTGCAACAGCAAATAATGTCTGGCAATTTCACATAATTGAAAGTGAAGCCAAGATAAGAATATGCAAAGTGACACAGATATTTAAGCAACTATGACTCTAAATCGTCACCGAACACCTTAAGGTTTTAATTGTCTAAAGTACTCTTTATTTCCTTCAACACTCTTAATATTAAAATTCATAGTCATTTTAAGTTTATCCCTTTCATTGATGACTGATGTTATATTTAATTACCAAAAGCTTTGATTTAACTACTCCAAGCTTACTTACTCCCAGCTTGCACTTTACCATCTGTAATACTAAATAGTCTCCTTGTATATACCATATGGTTCCATTGAAAATCATGCTTTCAAGACTTTGTTTTTCACTGTCTTACCTACCACCTTCTCTACTTCTTCATCTGGTAACTCCCATTTATATTTCAAAACTTACCTCATGTACTATCTGCTCTATAAAGCCTTTCCTAATTACTTTCCTTTAACCCTTACCCCAAGCCCAATTAACTCTCTCTCTCTGCTATGAGAAATGCATCATTTTTATGCAAACTTTTATCACCATACTTACAGTACGTGCTAATAATACTGTCTATGTGTCTCCTCCTCTAGACTGTAATTCCTCAAGGAAAAAAACCATGGCTCATTAATTTTTTGTACCAAATTGAACCCATATTAATACATCCCTGTTACACCATCACATGTTGATTACATTATTTTCTATTAACATTTTAATTCTATTTTAAGTACCCCACTATGAAATCTATAAACACTGTGTTTGTGTGTGTGCCTCTCTCTCTCTCTCTCATGCTCACCATCAATATTCCTGGTACTCTAAATAAAGTTAATAATAAACCAATAAAACCAGCAATCTAGTCATACACCACAGACTCAGTAGATTAACTATTTTTATCTTCTCAAATAATTACATAGACCTTTAGATTTCCAGTACTTCATGCTTTTAAAGCTGGTTATTCCAATTCTGTGGTATTCTGGATACAGTATCTTCTTTTTATTGTGGTAAAACACACATAACATAAATTTTATGTTTTAATCATTTTAAGCACACGATTCAGTGTCATTGGATATACCCACAGTATTGTACAACTACCTCCACTACCTATTTCCATAACGTTTCAATCATCCCAAGCAGAAACTATGAATGCACCAAATAGTAACTACCCATTTCCCAACTGTCCCCGGATCCTGATAATTTCTGTCTGTCTCTGTCAATTTGCCTAGTCTAGGTACCTAAGTGGAATTATAAAATATTTTTCCTTTTGTGTTTGTCTTATTTCACTTAGTACAATGTTTTTACAATTCATATATCTTGTGGTATGTATCAGAATTTTACTCATTTTTAAATAACTGAGCCACCCAAGTGTCCCAGAATTCTACTCATTTATAAGGATGAATGATATTCCATTATACACTATCTATAGATCTTATTATATTTATCTAGTCAGTCACTCATTGTTAGACATATGGTTCACTTCCACCTTTTGGCTAATATGAATAATGCTGCTATGAATATTTGTGTGGAAGTATCTGAGTCTTGCCTTCAGTTCTTTTTAGTATATACTTAGAAGTGGAATGCTGGATCATATGGTAATTCTATATTTAATTTTTTGAGGAACCACTACACTGTTTTTCAAAGTGACTGTATCATTTTATACTCACATCATAAATGTACCAGGGTTCTAATTTCTCCACATTCTTGCCCTCATTTATTTTCCATTTACTTGATAATACTGTCTTAATGGCTGTATTAAGTATTTGGAACTAGTAATTGTGGTTTTGATATGCATTTCTCTAATGACTAATGATGCTTATTATCTTTTCATGTGCTTATTGGCCATTTATATATCTTCTTTGGAGAAATGTCCATTCAAGTCTTTTGCCTAATTTTGAAATGGATTGTTGTTTTTTTTTGTTTCATACAAATATCTTTCTAAATTTGACTTTAGTGAAACATCTGAGCAGTTCAGCAATAATGATGCAATGATTAAAAATGTTTATTCAATATTTCTAGGAGGAGGCAGGATGGCAGAGAAGTAGGGAGCTCCTTACATTTCACTCGCCCCCATCTCTCAAATGGCAACAGCCTGAAGCCATAGGAATCCTTACAGAATCCAGGAGTTTGGGAGGAAAAGGAGACAGAGTCCGCTGAAAAAACCTTAAAGTGTGAGTGCAAACTGGGGAAGATAAAAATGGGCCAGGACCGGAGACACGGAGGGAGGGGAGGGAGCCCCATTTGCAGGGAGCCGCTGTGAGTCAAGGGGAAAAGAAAGAGCAACTGAAACTGCTCAAGAAACTGTCCCTGTCCCTGGAGAAGAGAAAAAACTTGGCTCGGGACACAGAAGGATCCAGTTTCCAGCTGTGTAGGTGACCTTGAACTGGACACACTGGTCTCAGGAAACACCAGGAGAAACCGATCCTCTGCTTGCCAGCTCGACTCGGAGGGGAAGCGGCGTGCCTAAAGCCGCTCCACCGATCTT